ACACCCGGATATTTCTGGATAATTACCAGTTTTCCCTTAAAGCTTTAAGTGTCCGTTTTTCGTCGTCATGCAATTCTTGAGTCTATCTTGATTAGTTTTTCGTTGTCCTTCCAGCGGTGTGCTCGGTGGGACCCGAATCTACAGTTTTCAGAAATGACTATTTTGCCCCTGGGGGCTTATTTTTCATATTTTCAATCTTTTGCTTCCGCATCAGTTCTCATTAAGTTCCACAACCTCATGGAAGGTCATTTTGACTTCTTAGAGTCTTGTTTGCTGTTTTCGCTTCCGCATTCGGATCCGTTATTGGGTCAATCTTCGGTCCATCACATGACACACTGGCTTGAAAAACCAGGGCCATCACAAGAAGTGTGCAAAACAAAACATCACAAGAAATATGGAGCGAAAGAAAGCCAAGTGTCTCTCATTTGTGGGTTTTTGGGAGCATTGCCCATGTGCACATACCGGATGAAAGGAGGACCAAGTTAGACAACAAAAGTGAAAAAATGGTGTTCATTGGCTATGATGCAAGTCCAAAGGCTACAAATTGTACAATCCAAGCAATGGAAAGATTGTCATTAGTAGAGATATTGAATTCAAAGAGGGAGCCATATGGGATTGGAACACTCCAAATGAAGATTATAATATTTTTCCAATTTCGGATGAGGAGTAAGAAAATGAAGGCATGGAACAGCCCATTTCTCCACCAACATCACCTCCACCACCATCAATTCAAGATCAATCAACTCCATCATCATCAAGTTCAAGTGATACACCACCACTTCGCATGAAGAGTCTTCGTGACATATAGATGAAATGGATGAGGTAACAGAAAGGTTAAGTGATCTAACACTTTTTTGTTTCTTTACGAATTGTGAATCCGTAGGATTTAAAGAGGCGGCACAAGACCAAAAATGGAGAAATGCTATGGATGAAGAAATTAAATCCATAGAGAAGAATGACACATGGGAGCTTGCAACACTTCCAAAAGAGCAAAAGACAATTGGTGTCAAATGGGTGTATAAAGCAAAGAAGAACGCAAATTGAAGGCATGGAACAGCCCATTTCTCCACCAACATCACATCCACCACCATCAATTCAAGATCAATCAACTCCATCATCATCAAGTTCAAGTGACACACCACCACTTCGCATGAAGAGTCTTCGTGACATATAGATGAAATGGATGAGGTAACAGAAAGGTTAAGTGATCTAACACTTTTTTGTCTCTTTACGAATTGTGAATCCGTAGGATTTAAAGAGGCGACACAAGACCAAAAATGGAGAAATGCTATGGATGAAGAAATTAAATCCATAGAGAAGAATGACACATGGGAGCTTGCAACACTTCCAAAAGAGCAAAAGACAATTGGTGTCAAATGGGTGTATAAAGCAAAGAAGAACGCAAATGGTGAAGTTGAAAAATATAAAGCAAGATTGGTTGCTAAGGGGTACAACCAAAAGCCCGGAATTGACTATGATGAGGTATTTGCACTCGTAGCTCTTTTGGAAACAATTAGATTGTGAATTTCTTTGGCAGCCTAAAACAATTGGAGAATCCACCAAATGGATGTGAAATCAGCTTTCTTGAATGGGTTTCTTGAAGAAGAAGTGTATGTTCAACAACCCATGTGCTATGTTGTAAAATGGCAAGAAAACGAAGTCTTGAAATTGAAGAAGGCTTTATATGGCTTGAAGCAAGCATCATGGGCGTCGAATAAGTGAATTAACAAATATTTTCAAGACAATAATTTTTCAAAGTGACCATATGAACATACTCTTTACTCCAAAGTAAGTTAGAATGGCGATGTATTTTTTGTTTGCTTGTATGTGGATGATTTAATCTTCACAGGTAGCAATCCAAAAATGTTTGAAGATTTCAAGAAGGCTATGGCTCGATAGTTCAAGATGACGGACATTGGCATCATGACTTGTTATCTTGGTATTGAGGTCAAGCAAATGAATGATGGAATTTTCATTCACCAAGAAGGTTATGCTAAGGAAATTCTCAAGAAATTCAAGATGGAAGATTGTAAATTGGTGAACACACCCATGGAAGTTGGAATTAAATTGTTGAGAGATAAAGATGAAGAGATGGTGGATCCAGCATTTTTCAAAAGTCTTGTTGGAAGCTTGAGATACTTAACATGCACAAGGCCGGACATATTATTTGCTGTTGGGCTTGTTAGTAGGTTTATGGAAAGACCCATCATAACTCATTACAAGGCGGCTAAGAGGATTCTTCGTTACATCAATGGTACTCTTGATTTTGAGTTATTCTATTCATTTTCTAATAATTCCAAGCTTGTGGGCTGTTATGATAGTGATTGGGTCAGAGATTTGGATGATAGAAAAAGTACTTCGGGCTATTGTTTTTCCATGGGAAATACTGCTTTTACATGGTGTTCAAAGAAGCAGCCCATTGTCACCCTCTCAACTTGTGAAGCGGAATATGTTGCAGCCAGTTCATGTGTTTGTCAAGCAATTTCGTTGAGGAATTTGTTGAAGAAATTGCACATGCGACAAAAAGAGTCAACGGAGATTTTTATGGACAACAAAGCAGCAATTGCTTTGGCCAAGAATCCGGTGTTTTATGCACGAAGCAAGCATATTGATACAAGATTTCATTTCATTAGAGAATGTATAACCAATAAGGAGGTGAAGCTCAAGTTCATCAAGTCACAAGATCAAATTGTGGATATTTTCACCAAGCCCTCAAGTTTGCAGAATTTCACAAGTGAAGGAGTTTGTTTGGAGTTGAAAAAAAATCAAGTTTAGCGGGGGTGTTAGAAATTAAACTTGATTATATTTTTAAATGTCTTTGAAGGTTATGTATGTTTTTTATTTGATATTTAATTTTATATTTATGTGAGTTTTTTTATTGGAGTTAGTGGGGGGCATGAGAGTTACAACTAGTAATGGTCATGTTAGTGGGTTAGTAGGTTAGTGGGAGTTTTGCCTACTAAATGATATGTCAGTGAGGTGTTAATTTTCATTTACATTTATATTTTGAAGCCTATATAAACCCATATATTTTACCCATTTTCAACCAAGTGAAATAAAAGTATTTTTCCTCCATTTTACTAGTAAAAGTATTCCTCCATATCCTATTCTCTTCTTAAATATTATAGTGTTGTGTGTGTATCTATGCCACTATTTCTAACAAAGCGGTATCAGAGAAAAAGCCAACACTATCTCCTTAAATTAGAGTGATTAATTTTACTCACTATATGGTTATTAACCAACTATTCTATCTCCTTAAATTAGAGTGATTCCGTTGAGTGTTTAAATAGGTTATTTGGTAAGGCTAAAGGGATGGCAATAAAATTAATTTTATTTACTATATGATTATTAACCAACTATTCTATCTCCTTAAATTATAGTGATTTCGTTGAGTGTTTAAATAGGTTATATTTTATCTTTTAGAACTTGTTTACTTTTAAAAATTTTTAATTGATTATTCAAAAAAATAAAAAAGGCATTGTGAGGGAAGTCTTTTTTTTTTTTTTTTGAAACAAATTCTTCTGGAATTAAATTTTGGAAAAGTAAAGAAAATAATTGGATTGAAAATGAAATATTTTTTTTTATTGTTCACAAATTATTTCCAAAATGAGCAGGCTGGATACAGACATGTGGTCACACATTCGGTCTAAGAAGATGTAAGTTTAGTATATATATATGGTTTCCTTTCACCCAGCCGGCTACCTACAATCACCCATCATATCTAAATATTATGATTCAAATATCTGTAACTATAGCTTACCATGTTCAAAAACGAACTCCCCATGTTTAAAAGGATCACTTTGTCTTTGTTGATTTTGGACCCCCTGTGGTCTCTCTTGCTCTCATACAAAACAAATGTGTCTTAATCCCTTTGTTCTCATACAAAACAAAATATAAGTCTTAATCCCTTTGTCTCTCACTTGCTCTCATTCAAAACAAATATAAGTCTTAATCCCTTCGGTCTCTCTCTTGCTCTCATACAAAACAAATATGAGTCTTAATAGGAACAACTTTGTGATTCACAATACTCTCTCTCACACACATACACACATCATTTAATATCCCACCTTCCCTGGCCTTCCATTGCCACTTCGTTCTAACATGCCTCAATGCTAACGTAAAAAATCTGAAAGTCCAGCTGAAATTCTATGAAACTCTTAGCGAGAATTTGCAGCATTTATGTTAAGTGAACGTGCCAAAAAAATTATAGATAATCTTAAAAGAACATGAATGTTCTACCTATTCTCTAACGAGTTCCTCACCCAGATTCGAAGAAACCACTTAGCAATGGAGACTATAGACCAATTTGCCTGGTCATATTTAGCACTCAAGACTGGAGAGAAATACACTAATTTGCCTAATTACAAAACACTTGTTTGATCAACAGTTGGTCGTTTACTTGAATCCTCTTTTTCATTTTTTCAAATGGATATAGAGGATTCAAGTTCTAATTGGGATTTTAGTGTTGTCTTTTGGGTGCATTGTTTTGAACAGAACCAGGTTAATACAATGACCAGACCTCATGTTTGAAACTCGAGTTAGATCAAAACAGGGCAAAAATATCATGCACATTCTCAAATACATAAATATGGACAAGAATTTGCAGAACTCGGATTTTCACCTGCACAATGACTCTCTCTATCACTCCGGTTGGAAAGAAGACTACATATAAGAGCCATTAACAGAACAAAAGAATGAGATTCTAAAGAGACATTGCATCAGAATTTGAATCCATCTGATTGCAAGAAAATCCAACCTCTGCAGCTCCCCTATAATGCTATCGTGAGACCCTTATAATTGAAAGATTTATTAAATGACTCACAGATCTCAAAAAACTGTTACGATAGCATTACTCTCAAAGGGGATATACATGAATGTCAATGATCAATATCAAATTATCAATATAGAAATTGCACTTTCATTTGTATTGCCTTAAATCCAAGTATATTATGTTAATCAAATCTAAAAATAATTTCCTCTGAGTGAACATTCATAAAGCATTAAAAACCAAGGTAAAGGGGAAACATCTAATAAAAATAGAGCTTGGTTTACAAGTAAAGGAATTGAAAGGCTACAATTTATTCACTGTAAAATAAGGATCAATATAGATTGGTACCGGTCACCACCATTGATGAACAAGAACTCCACTTTCTCTGAGAGAAGTAAACAGATCCAAGCATTGACCATATGTCTTCTGATATTTGGATGACCTCTCACCTGGGCAGCATCTCTGCCACCTGTTATAATGGCACTCAAGAAAGATCTCATCAATCAAACAAATTGCTCCGGTCTCAAACAACTTGGGTATCAAATCAAATTCAGTCCCTTCTACATCCATCTTCATCACCACAAAGTCCTTTTCTGATACGGTGTTCTTCAACCAATTCGCAAAATCAAACCCCTGGATCTCATCCACATCGGCATTGGAAGAACTAGCTGATGATGACTCTGCCGGTTGAATCCGACCCATTCCTCTACCTTTTGCTTCCTTCCCCTGACCGGGGTCTCGATTAATCTCAAAGAACAATGTCTCATTCTTCACCCAAGCAGCATATGGCAACAAATTGACCCCTTTCTTGTGCTGATACTCTTCGTGAAAAGTGTTATCAGCCTCAATTGCATAAATCTCAAAGGTTTTATTTTGCTTTGGGTATTGCTTTTTGAACCAACTCCCAATACTCGAGCCATAGCTACGAGCTCCAACATCAACATAGACATACCTTGGCTTAAAATTAATATCAGCCATTGATGGAAGATACTTTACATTCTTTATATTCTTCTTCAGTGTAATCCATGGTTTCAAGGGTTCTTCTCTAATCAATGGTTCAGCTTTCCGGACCAATTCTTGTTTGTACCCAGGAACAGAGCACTTGTTCACAGAATTGCCATATAGTTTGATCAACCCATGACCAGAAATATCAGTTTCTTTCTTCATAACTATTTCACGAATGTATGGCATTGATGAATTGAATCCGTCAATGTCACGAGACCGTATAAATTTACAGCAATTAAACAAATCAATAAAAGAATTGAAGCTATACGTATCTTTCGATGCCGTGTGGACGACCAAAAACCCTTCGGGCTTAAGCGTCCTCGCTATCTCTGCCGCGAATTCACCTGGTTTTGCCGATTTATCTAGACCGCCGGCACCGGAGAAGATGAAATCAAAGGTATTTTCGTCGAACGGCTGACGAATTGCCTGACCTGAAATCACCAGCGGCTTTGACGCCTTCTTGAAAATTCCGATCGAGTCCGAAACGCCGATCTCCATCAAAGCGACCACGTCTTCTCCGACCGGTGTTTCGACGCAGAGTGACTTCGACTCCGGCGAAAGATAGCCGTCGGCGATCAGATCCTGAAACACGGATGAATAGAACTGGATCGCTTTTCGGCGGTCCCTGGTGGCCCACAAATCACCCCGGACGACTTCGCCGGAAGCTAATCGGATGTTGTTTCCGATAATTGCCGAAGAAGTGGCAATCTGTTCGACGCCGGTGACGGCGACGAGGTTGAGATTTTCCGACAAAGAGAAGAAACAGAAATCACCGAGATCGCATGATTCGCCTCTTATAGTGACAACATAAGCGAATCGAAGGCATATTATGAGGACGCAAAAGAAGAAAACTCGAACCGTGATGTTTCTCAGGAAGCTTGGCTTGCCCGTACCCGGCTCCATTGTTATCCTTGTATAACTGTATGTATATGTGTGTGTATTTGTGTATGTGCAGAAATTCAATCAGAAAATGCAAATTCTAGAGAGAGGGGGAGAAGGAAAGGGGGTTTAGCGGGAACAGAATCGGGCGGAAGTGTGGTTTGCGCCGACGAGGATACGGTGGGATTGGGGGTAGCAGAATCGCAAATGGAGAAGATTTTGAGGGGCGAAACGGGAAGACATGCCGGGTTTTGTATAGAAACTCGATCTCATGGGTTGTTTTGGATTTTCATCTATGTCGAATCTCTATTCTCTCCTCTCTCTCTCTCTTCTAGGCTTCGATTGCTGGTTTAGGGTTAACGAATAGCGGAAAGCGGTTAGGGCAATGAGAGAAGATATAACTATAAGCGGAGAAGACGACGCGGACGGGGTGACCGGAACAGCCTGTAACCGCAAGGACTTGAAACAGAAATGTAGAGGAAACTTTCACTTTCCGAAATTGCCACCTCACCTTATCAAAGTATGGAAACCTTACATAACAAAATTAAAATTGATGAGGTGAAATTTTAAAAATGGCCTATAAATTGATAACTATTTTGTTATTTTTTTCTAAATTTAAGTGTAATGCGTACAACGGTAATTGGAGTTCGAATCACTAAAAAATTTATTTGATTTTACGAGATAGTTATTTTATCAACCATCCACTAGTCTAAATGGTATTATTATAATTTTTTCTCTCTAAATAAATGGGGAGACTGAGTGTAATTTTTAAAAAAAAGAAAAAGAAAAAATCAAATATATTCAATAGAACAAACACTTAAATAGTAGTAATTGAATTTTTTTTTAGTATTAACATACTCCGTATTATATACTATTATATGTTTATGGGAAATTTCTTGAGAAATAGCGGGGTATTTTGGGTATTCTAAATTTGCCATTTCGGTAAAGTGGTCCCCACACGTTTTTGATACGTTGGCACTTTGCATGGAAGGTGGGGCCATGATTATTTAAGAAAACATATGGATTTTGTGTAGGAGTCAAATTCTCAAAAATAATCTTCAACATTTACACCTGGACTGTTTCGATGACACGCGATGACCACTAGGATCGCTTTGTTTGGAATAAAAAAATAAAATTTGGATTGTAATTAAAATAGAATAGGATTCTTATCTGACGTTTGATATATACTGAACAGTGAATTGTCAAATAATTTTTAGTTTACTATTTATATCAAATATAGTGTAGGATTTTATTTTTTTATTTATTGTATAAATTGATCAATTAAATTAGTAGATTTAGCAATTAATTGTAATTATAATCATTTTTCATATTGAATTTATAAAAAGAAATTGAAAATAAAATAAATTTTAGGAAAATGATTCTTGCACAAAATAGTTGCAGTAAATCTAGGTGAATTGTTAGATTTATCCTTTTAATTAGTCAATTATACAACAAAGAAGGAAGTGGATGGTTAAATTATTTAGTTAGACAATTTACTGTCAGTGTTCAGTGTGAGTATCACTACCCTAAATTTTATACTATTTGGAATTAAGAGATGTGACAATTATAAAGAAAGTTGCTAGAATGATAATTTTTACAAAGGAATTGAAAGATAATCTTGGTATTACACACCAAATCCCTTCAAATCCTACCATTATTTTTTTAGAATTTCTCTACATTTTAAAATTTTCTTTGAAATCCCATAAAATCCCATTCCCTTTTAAAGTTCCACCATTCCAAGCAAGTCATTTCCCTTTTGAAATCCAATTTCCATGAAATCCCCAGTTCCAAACACAGCTAATTTTTTTTTTTATTTTTTTATTTTTTTATTTTTAACTTGTTTGGAATGGTGGATTTTAAAAATGTATGAGATTTAAAAGAAAATTTGGCAAGGTAAAGAAATTCGGAGTAAAATGATACTAGTACTTGAGGGGATTTGGAATGTAATTACGTAGTACAAAATTATTCTTTTATCAACGACTTTTGCAAATCTCATTTACAAATGTGTTGTGTCTTTATCCCAAAGAGACAAAATGTATTTAAATTCAAATTCTTTCCTACAAATTTCAATCTGTTCCAAACGGTCAAAATATAATTGTTTTTAATTACAATCTAAATTTAAATTTAAAAAGAATTTAGTTCCAAATAAAGAGAAAGAGTCCTTGTAAAACAGATGATTGAAGTGTGAAAAATCCGTGGGAAGTCTAGCATTACTCTTGTGAAATTAATAAATACCAGAATTTTATCATTAATAAAAATATATAAAAATAAAATAAAATTAAAAAAAATAAAAAAAAACACTTCAGAATGATCATTAAAAGGAATGAAATAATTTTTTCCAAAAAAAAATTTATACCATTCATTTTTAACAATTTCATTAAAAATGGTAAAGCTTATATTATGAATTTATGATACTAAATTACTAACTAGTAAGTAAATTATAATTAGAATGCACTAATTAATCTCCAACTGTGAAATTATGGAAGGTCATAAGCAAGCCGCAAGAATAAAGAAAAATTATAAATTAGATTAACTAAAGTCAACCCCCAAGTAATAAATAAAGAATTAGCCGATGACCCAATTTCAGGAACAAAAGTTATTTATTTAACTGCCGTTCTTGGCTCATTCTCTCACGCACAAGGAACACTTGGCCATGATTCACATTACTTAAAAGAGAAAAAATAAATTCATCTCCTCATTGATAGTTTATCTATAGCAACGACAATAAATTTCAGACTTGCTGAAAATCTTTCACAAATTCACATTACTCAGAAGGAAAAAGATAAACTCTTGCGATTATTACATATAAATAGTGTTAATGGCTCAAATTTATTATTTGATGAAGTTAAAATCATAGTTTCAAAAAAATAAAATTGATCAAAATTCTGAGGTGGATATAAAAAAATACTATTCACTATCATATCACAGAGGTATGGGTGGCAATTCGTGTTCGCTGGTCATAATCATGATCATAAGGCGTAGTCAAGGTTTATGTTAAAATGACTTAACTGTCTATAGTAATTGGATTTAAACAAGTAACATATTACATAGGTCATATTCATGATTATGACATGTTGAGTTAAACGGGTTACACGTGTTGAACTTCCTCAATCCTAACTCGACACGGTTAAGTAAACGGGTTAATCGTATCAACCTGTTTATAACCCAAACCCATTTAAGGTCAACCCAAACCCGCTTATCTCGTGTCGTGTTCGAGTCGTGTTGGCGGGTCATGTCGTAATTTGCTACCCCTACAAATATGTACCACTTTTTGTGCATTAGGTACTACTTTTATTTTAGAAATAAAGGTACCACTTGTATTCACATAGGTACCACTCTTGTGCATCAGGTACCACTTTTTTGTGGAGCACAAAAAGTGGTACCTATGTACCTAAATATAGTACCTCTTTGGGGTAAACAATGTTTTTTTATGTGTTCATTTTTTAGAAACTATAAGACATTGACTCTATCGACGGGTAAATATTGGTCATTAGTACCATTTATATGTAATAATCCCTAAATTCTATCTCCTCGTTAATAGTTTATTTACAGCATTTCAAGCAGTCTGTTAAAATACTCTTTTGTGTAAGGTATAATGTGTAATTTTTTATTTTTTATTTTTATCTCCAGCAATATGTTAAGATATACATTATAATATCACCAATGTGCAAAATTGTCGTCTATTTCACATAATCTTTATACTCAACCACATCAGCATATTTCATTTTTTTTTTCTTCACTATTTCTAATTTTATTAACTAATCAACTCTATATTAAATATGTTTGTAAAAGTTGTGTAGTGTCATATTAAGTAAGTTTGTAAAAGTTGTGTAGTGTTCTAGCAAGACAAGTGGTTGGTTGTTATTCGCATATACATTTTAACACCAGAGCTAAAGATGAGTAGTCCAAAATTTTTGTATAAATTTACTATGACACATCAGATTTATACAAATATATATATATATACACACACACGCAACAACTGGAAATGCTCTTGGTCATACTAAAAATCTTTCACAATTCACATTACCTAGAAAGAAAAAAACAAATTTTATCTCCTCGTTAATAGTTTATTAATAGAGACGAAAATAAATTCCGAGCCAGATTAGTCGGGCATACTCGTTGCTTACTGGAGCTTTAGGAGACTTAAACGGTTGACTAAAAGCATTTCTAGTAGTATGTTAAAATACTCTTTTGTGTATATTAAAATATTCTTTTGTGTAAAATATACACGGCCACATATGATATGTAAATTTTTTTTATCTCCACCAGTTTGTTAAGACACACTGCCACATCACCAATGTGTAAAATTATTGTATAATTTATACAACATTCAACCATATATTAAGTAGATTTGTAAAAATTATGTGGGGTCCAGACATGACACTGGTGGCATGTTATTGGGAGATATATTTTTACGCAAAAGTATAAAACAATTGCTGGAGCTAAAAATAAATAATCTAATTTTTTTTTTTTTTTTGTATAAATCTATTATGACACATCAGATTTACATATATACACACACACATTTTTATTTATTTATAATTTCTTTGTATAAGTTATGTTATATTTATTTCTTAATATTATTAAAAACTAATCCATAGATAAATTTAATATCAGACCCAAAGGATTTATATCCTAAAATAACTTCTTCCTTTTTTTTTTTTTTTTCTCTTCCTCCTCATTCACTTTTTTTAATTAAACTCTAACCAATATAGAAATTTAATATTAGTTCCAAAGACTAATTTATATGATTGAATGACTCTTTTTTTTTTTTTTTAACCTCTCTCCTCATCCATTTTTTTTTTTTATTAAACCCTAACCAATACAAAAACTTAATATTGGACACAAAAGATTTATATTCTCAAAGAAAAATAATTTTTGCACCGAATAGTTGTAGTGAATTGCTAGACTTACTATTTTTAATTGGTCATTTATGCAACAAATAAGGGAGTGGGGTCATCCACTTACTTTTACTTGTATTTAACATCAATAACCAATGAAAAATAATTCAATTAGGAATTCACTGGAAGTTTTCCGTGTGAGTATCACTACTCATTTTTAAATAATTTAACATTTTTTTTCTTTTTCATTCCCATTTTTTACAACACTAATTTTTTTGTTTCTTTCGTTAAGTTACACCCACAATAAATATTACATATGTATTTTACCTTTATTTAGGAAGGTGGTGAAACTTTTCATATTCTTTTTTTAGCTTTTATTCTATAGGGTTTTCTAACTCGGGTTCTATTATCTTTTTTTCTTTAATTATTTTTAGTTTTATTAACTTTTGTTAGTATAAATTTGTATGTTTACTATTGACATACAAAACAATGAAACATCGAAAATAAAATCTCTACTTTTTTATACACTTGATCAACGTAATGTAATTTGTAATTTGCATTAT